CCAACCCTGTGCCCCTCAGTACAGTTATGCCCTTACCTGTGCTGTAAGTGTGCTGCCCATAGCCACTGGCCTGCTGAAAAGGGGTAGGGGGGGTGCTGAGGGTCACACCATGCTGCTTTGCTGAGGTCGGTGGGACCTAGTGGGACAGGACAGGCAGGTGAGGGTGGAGTGTAAGAATAAGGCAAAGAGGGGCTGGAGAGATGGCTCAGAGGTTAAGAGCATTGCCTGCTCTTCCAAAGGTCCTGAGTTCAATTCCCAGCAACCACATGGTGGCTCACAACCATCTGTAAAGAGGTCTGGCGCCCTCTTCTGGCCTTCAGGCATACAGACAGAATATTGCATACATAATAAATAAATAAATATTTAAAAAAAAAAAGAATAAGGCAAAGAGATCAGGCAGATCTCTGAGCCTCCGGCAAAACTAAATCACAGCCAAGAGAACCAGCCTTTTCCGAAAAGCAATCCATGATGGATAAAGGCAGCCGGGAAACAGAATCTGACCCCTGAGCAATAATCCTCAAGGCCAATAAGGCAATGGGGCTTGTGGCCACACTTGCTCACTGCTGACAGGTGCCTCGAGGACCCACAGCCCCGGGACGATCTGAAAATACTCACAAACATAGTGAAAATACTCACAAACATAGTGGGTCCATACTGGAAGGCACTGGGCACGCCTGTGTAGTAGGGGAGGCCAGTATAGCTGTACCCAGGTGGCAGAGCAGGATTCAAAAAGGGCTGCTGTGCCGTGTGGTGGGTCTGTGATTGACTCTGCTGTGCCTGAGCTGGTGTTGGAGGTGCAGGGGATGCAGAGTCTCCTCGGCCAAACTTTGTGACGTCACCTAGAAGAACAGCAGGCTAAGCTGTTAGGTCTAACTGACAGCTCAAGCACCTCAGCCCTTCTGGCCTCCTATGGCTACGAACCAGCCCATTCCCTCCCTCTCTTGCCCACGGAGCCAACTAACCTGAGTATGGATTATTAGCTAAACTTCCATCTCGGCTGGCAAGGGGTGTGGGTGCTGCAAAAGGAATTCCATAGTAATCCTAGAAACAAAACAAGGAGACTCACTGAGCAGATGGCCTCACCCCACCCTCAGAGCAGATCCGGCTGACAAAACACAGGCACTCTGGTGATGCCTCTCCGAGTGCCTATGACAGGAACCTCGGTGCAAACAGCTCCAAGTCCCTGCTTCAACACCTGTTTTTTCACCACGTGGAGATTTGGTAAACGCTACAGAGCAAACCAACTTTACTGGCCTTAGCTGTGTGAGTGACTCTAAATGAAGAGCCACCCACAAGACAGAAGAGGCAAAGCCTGGGAGGCTTACAGGGGACTGAGCAGTGCTAGGTGGGTTACAGGACCCTGTGTCCAAGCCCTGCCTATCCCAGTCTCTCCCAATTCATTTGCACCAGCAACAACAACACTGTAGAGCAAGCTTGAGAGCAGCAGCTGCAAAGGCTAAGAAGGTTGTGCTCTTGGGTGAAGAAGTCCTGCCGTGG